AATTTTAAAAGTCTTGTGTATTGAAGCAGCCCCAGAGTGGAAGAAAGAAGTTCCCGCAGCTTTTATTTGCTTAAAGAACAAGCACGAGAGTACGAGATTTACACCTGCAGAATTAGTATATATGGTCGAAATCTTAGAACACCTGTAACATTATTATATGAACAATGAATGAATCCTAAAGACGAAGGAAATAATGTTGTTGAATACATTTTTCAATTGATAATCGATTAAAAAGATGCAAAGAGCTGCTACAGATAAATGCTGGAAATGCAAACCAAAAGAAAGATGTGGTACGATCGTAAAGCTATAAAAAGAGAATTCTCTGAAGGGATTTAGTATTAGTTAATCAACGATAACCAAACAGACTAGCAGTTGAATGGAAAGGTCCTGGGACAGTTGAGAAAAATTATCGCGAAACTAATTATGTTGCGAGTTTCAAAGAAAAAAATGACTCTAACCAAGTCTACCATGTTAACATGCTAAAACCCTATCATAGCGAGCAAGACGGTTACCTTATGATTACAGAAGATCAATCTGAAATTGATGATATGGAGGAAATTTCCCACAATTGACTCTGAACCAACATTGTTCGATTTTTGAGGACATCAAAGAAAACAGCTCTTAATTGATAAGCTAAATGAACAGATTCAAGAATTGCATGATATCTGCTGAAGTTTTCAAAAATCTTTTCTAATAAACCTGGAAAAACTCATTTAAACGCATGATATTCATTGACAGAAAACACCCCAATCCACTGTAAACCATACAGAATGTCTCCTAGACAAACGGATAATTTAAAAGCAGAAATTGATAAAATGCTTCAGCATAAAATAATTGAAATAGGAGATTCAGATTACACTTCTCCTATGATTTTAGTAGAAGTAGCAGGGAGGGATCCAAGACCTTGTATCGACTATAGTAAATTGAATAATTGACTAAAAACACATTCTTCCCCTTGCCTAACATCGAACACGAGTAGAAACGGTAGCATGAGCAAATATATAACTCTTTTGGATTTAACAGAGGAATGCTGGCAATACCTTTAAACCTAATGCTCAAAGATTAGCCACTTTGTGACAAGTTTTGGCACATTTAGACCTCTACGGATGCCTTTCGGACTAAAAAATGGCACCATTTTCATTTAGTAAAATGATGGCCGAAATCCTTCACGGTTGTGAAAACTTAGCTGTTCCATATTTAGATGACGTGGCAATCTTTCAAACACCTGGGAAGAACATCTAAGAAGTCACCTGAAAGCCATTTTATCCAATAAAGGACGCTGGTTTAACTATTAAACCAATAAAATGTAAATTTGGGCTCAAGATAGAGTAAAATATCTGGACTATTGTAGGTCGTGGTATAAGAATGCCAATGAAGTGAAAGTAAAAGCATTCTTGATTTTCCAGTGCCATCCCACAAAAGTCAGTCAGAGCATTTTTAGGATTATTAGCGGATATTATAATCGTTACATTCCCATGTTCTCATCTATAGCAGCACCTTTAACAGAAACTTTGAAAGGAAACTTAAAGAAAGGGAAAATAAATTGGACAGAAGAGTGCAGAAAAGCATTGAAGATTTAAGGAGAAACTGTCTCAAAGGCCTATACTACATGCACCTGATTTCAATAAGGATTTATTTGCAAACTGATGCTTCAAACTCTGTATGGGTGTCATTTTAGCTCAAAAAGATGAACGAGACAATGAACATCCAGTATTATACCTCAGTAAGAAGTTTACAGAAACTGAAAAATAGTACTGTACCACAGAAAGGAATGCGCCGCCATAAATATTTGCTGTAAAGAAACTTCAATGTTATTTAGACGGGCATACTAAATTCCTCATCATGACCGATCATAATCCCTTAGTTTGGCTCAAAAACAATGTGAGTCTAAATCCATGACTTATGAGATGGGCACTGGTACTACAACCCTACAATTACACGATGTTCATCGAAGTGGTAAAACCCATAAATGTAGACGCATTAAGTCGTACTCCCTGGCCTGATTAAATAATTTGTTTCTCTATGTAGATAAAAAAAATATTTGTTCCTTCCTCTCTTTCTCAGTGTATCTTATTAGTTATATCTTGTATTTCAATTCTGTATTGTGCTGATATTGTTGTTTTGAAAAAAAAAAAAAAAAGTAAACTTTAATTTATATAAAATATAAATTAAAGTTTATCTGGAGGGGGGAGAGGTTGTAATATCTTGCTATTTAATAAATAAGTATAATTATTGTTGAAGTGGCAACGCCATATTTGTATCAAACCGTTACTCAGCAACAAAAGATATTGTTAAAAAAAGATGAGTATTCTGAAGATTTTACAGCTAGGAGTAGGATGAAAATTTTGCCACTTAAGAATTGTATAAAATTTGTCTATCACCGTGAACTAGAAATAAAATTTATGTTCTACTAAGAAGATTGTCTGATATACATTCACACACACATACATATATAGATACATCTATTATCATATATATATGGTATTTACAGATACGTACATATATATGCATTTATCTGTGTGTGTGTGTATATTATCAATATATCTGTTAGCATACATACATGTTATATATCCGTGTTTGTATTGAATATGCATGCATACATGCATGCACACCTCATTTGCTTATGTATCTAACATATGCATATCAGTATGGTTAGGTTACTTGTGTAGAATTCTAGAGAGCATGTGAATCGTGTGACACACAACTGAAAGTTTTTGCTCTGAGCCAACATTCCACTGTTGAAGGAAAATAAAAAGGAATATATGAAACCCCCATAGTTGTGAGGCACGAAAGTCATCAAATAAGTGGCAGAGAAAGGTTATCGGACTGTGACTATCTCGGCACTCTGGGAAGGAGGGATAATTTCTCTAGCTGAAATTTCGACCATTCATCTTCTAAGTGTTAAAATCTGTAATATATTTGACATATGCAGTTAATAATAATTGCGCTGATGGATATATTCAGGTAAAATGATAAATAAATAAAAAGTAAAAGTTTTAAAACTAATTACCAAAACATTATAGCTAACCATTTAATCATAAAGCAGAACAGCCGACATTTGCACACATTTAAGCTGTTGCAAATACACTTTTAAATTTTCAAATTATCTTAGATGAAAAAATTGGTTTAATATTGGTTAACCAAAATACTCCATCTCTTATAGTTACGATTATAAATATCTGGCTGTAACAAAAGTTTCCTGCCCAAGAAACATTCTTAATAAAGGTAGGAAAAAAGCAATAAAACAGTACCTTTAAATGCGGGTAGTAATCACCACCCAAATCTATGATTTTCTGAAACGTTTTGGTAGTTTTTCAAAGCTTTCGGCCCAGAAACTTGGTGGCTGCGAGTTCAAAAACAGATGAACCTCATTTTGGATGTCCTGGGCCAAATAGAAGGTAGAACCAGCAAGATGTAGCTGCTGGTGTGGAAGAAGGTAGAAGTCCGAAGGAGCAATATCGAGGCTGTATGGTGGATGTGGCAAAAATTCCGACTCGGTTTTGGACATGTGTTCTTGCATTATCTTAATAGAACATTACCTTTTTCCGCTGGAATTCAGTTTGACATTTTTTCTTGATAGCAGCATCAACACGAATTTCTAGCATCTCGCTGTACTCTTTACTGTTTAGGATTTTACCTTTTTTAAGATACTTTTTGTGGATAATGCGACAGCAGTCCCACCGGATACAATGCATGATCTTCTTGTTAGTGAAATTGTGCATTGTGATGCTGTTGACGGGCTCACCAGGAACAGACCATTCTCCTTGTCGGCTTATTTTGTTGAAATAAATCCACTTTTTATAAGTGATTTTTATAGTGATGATAAGGTCCAGAATTCGGTCGTTGAGTTGATATTCGAGTAGTTTAGTTTATGTGATGCATAGTGCGGCTAGTGAACATGATTTACAGATACGTACATATATATGCATTTATCCGTGTGTGTGTAACTCCTTAGCAAGCTCTCGAGTGGTTCCGTGCTGATCTTCTTCCACAAGTTCTCGCATACTTGCCTTACCAACATCACTAGGCCGGCCAGAATGCTCTGCTTCTTGAATATCATAGTCGTTGTTTTTGAACTTTCATTACCAAACCTACACAGTGCCATTTTGATACAACATTAGTACCTAAAGCTGTATACATAATTTGGTGACATTCTGTAGCTGACTTTTTGCAACAGAACTGGAAGTAAATGAAGGTAGCTAATCTGGTAGTGTGCAAGCTAATTCTGTAGCTAATCTGGTAGTGTGATAGTTCCATTTCAGACACCTTGTACTTAATAATATTGATATGTTTTTACAAATTTCACAAACCAAACATTAAATTTAAAAACTGTACAGAACACTTACTTTACTCTGCAGAACAACTTTATCCAAAAAAAAAAAAAAAAAAAAAAACAGAAATTTCAATAAAAATGTATTGTATATATAAAAAAATTACGATGGAATAAACAATATCCCTTAACACAAATATTAATTATCCTAATAAATAAATTAACCAACTTCCTGTTGCAAAGTCTTAAGAATTCAAATGGTATAAAGGAAGTTAACTATGTTTCCTAAAAAGAATCATGCAAAACTTTTTATATAATTAAAATTATGTATAATTAACACATAATATGAAATATTACAGTGAAATAAGCAATAAATCCCATATTTTCAAGAGAAAACAGTTCAGCAATCCAGTATCCAAAGCATTAAATGAAACATTCTTGCCAAAACCACATTTCTAAAAGAATAAAACTTCAAAATGATGTGATTTCATCAAAAAAGATGAAAATAAAAAAAAATCTTGATACGAATTTTGAAATAATCGCTTCAAGGTGCACTAGCTCTTGTCTAGATGCACCTATGCGCCCAGCACGAATGAAAGACACACACACAGAGAGACTCTCTCTTTTATTATGTGTAGAGATTGTGAAATTCAATCATTTTAGTGCTTCATGTCTTCTGTTTGAAAAATGCTAAACAAGTTGCGAATTACTTTTTTTTTTTTTTTTCCAGAGACTCTTCTTTTTGTTTTCAATCTGATGATAGTTTAAATGATGATAAACAAAAGGAATCAACACCTGGAGGCATTGACAATGGGCCAGATGATAACAGAAGACAAGGAAAATTACAGTCTTGTAGTAATGGGACTAGCTTTGCTGATAATGAAAGCCAGAAACCATCTTCCAGTACTGACACTGGCTTTAATGATAATAAAAGACAGAGTGATTCGTTATCTAACAGTACATTTGATGATATTAGAAGACAAGAAGAATTATCCCATAGCACTGAGACTAGCTTTGCTGATAAGGAAAGCCAGAAACCATCTTCCAGTACTGACACTAGCTTTAATGATAATAGAAGACAGAGTGATTTGTTATCTAACAGTACATTTGATGATATTAGAAGACAAGAAGAATTATCCCATAGCACTGATACCAGCGTTGATAATAATAGAACCAAAAGTTCGTTAGATGATAAAAGAAGGCTGCGAGAATTAGCTTGCAGCACTAAGAATATATGTAATGATAATGCCAGACAAAGGCCTATGCGCAAGTCAACTTGCAGCTCTAACTGCACATCTGATGATAATAGAAGACAGAAAGAGCCACAATCTGGTAGCATCCATTGTAGGTTTAATGATGCTAAAAAGAAAAGAAAATCATCATTTCGCTGTGGAAGAAGACCAGATGAGAGCAAAGAGAAAGAAAAAAAAAAATTGTCATCGCAAACAGCTTACAAAGGTATGTGTGTAATTTATCTTTTTGTCCTCAGGTTATTATCCTCTGCTATTCTATATTACTGTTTGTATGGAAACTGAAACCTTAGATTAATGAGACAGCAGTGAAAAGCTGTCAAAACATTTAATTTAATAAATTAAAATTAGTAAGTTATTTATGATGTAGGTATGTAATCCATGAAATATTTGTAGATTTTCCCCTTGACTTCCATGTTGATAGATTCGCCATGCTTTTCTAGTTATCTGAGATTAGCATATATAAAGTTATACTAATTAAGTTTGTTGTGGCTTCCTTTATTAGAATTAGATAAATAATACATTGGGAACGTATATTTCGTATAATGAAGGAAATTTTTACTATTTGTTTGCATTCATTTACAAATGAGACCATTAAAGAGAGAAAAAAAGGCTAGTACAGTCAAAAGTTGTTAATCTGGACACCCATAATCCGGACCTCAAAGCTACAAACTTTCTGCACATGCGTCAACGCATAGTGCGTTCACGCATGCGCATAGGAGTTTACGCATGCACGTAATACCTTTCACACATGCGCATATGCATGTGCGCATGCACATAATATGTTTACACATGCGCGTTTAATGTATAACGAACGGTATAAGCTAAGCTAAAATTATCTAATTATCTATTTAACTTGCAAATCCTGCAAGTTAATCAGTGGCGCATCCAGCGGAACTTGGAAAAATAATTATCTATTTTAGTTTAATGTTGCAGATTGCGTTGTTCCTTAATCTTCGAATTGAATCCAGCTTATTATTTTTTGCAGACTGTTAGAGCAATTTTATAAAAGTAAGCTTGAACTTTCGATTATGTCAAATAGAATTTCCAATGCTGGAGCTCCCAAAGGATCTAGAAAGCGGAAGTATGTTTCAATGTCCATCAAACAAAAAGTGGAATTGCTGCAAAAAATGGATAAAGGCATATCCTTTGTTTCTCTAACCATTCCAAAATCTGTTTATCAATTTCACGCTGCCCTGCGGGGGGGGGGACGTCGCGGCGCGCAATGAATTGGAAGTTGATCTGTCAGCACTATCCTTATCTTCAGGGCAGATGTTTTTATTTTATTTGGTTTATAATTTCCTTACTAAATGTAGTATTTCATCATCGATGTACTCCATCTTTGATATGATTTAAATCAAAGTTCCTCTTCATTATAATTCGCTTCCGATAGTGAAGAAAGTGACAGAGAGGTTTATTGAAAACGAAAAATTTCGATTGACAAATTAGTTCGGTATTCTTCGACACAGCAATTATAGGACCTTGAACAGCGGAACTTTGTAACTGAACAAAGAAATTATGTCTGTTTATAGAATTAAAGAGAAAGTATTATCACATAAAACGAAGCAACTTAAACAACTTACATTGAAAGAAATGTTTAATAAAGTAAACAAATAAATATTAAGCTTTTTTTTTTTTTTTTTGTAAATTTTGATACCCTTTAGATCATAATTGTTCTTTATTTCATAAATTACGGTTTCATATTTTTAATTTTATAATTTCTGCATACCATCTTACCAGATTTAAACTGATGATCTATAATACGGAAAAACCCCTAATCAAGAGTCGCTGAAGTCCCAACGAGTCCGGATTAAAGACTTTTGACTGTATTAAAGAAATTGTTTGTTGTTGATTCAGAATCTTATCTTTTGTATATCTTGCAAAATTTGATCCAAAATTATAATTTCCTTTTTTTTTTTTTTTTGTTAGATGTCTTTATTAATTCTGTAATAAACCATTTTCTATCTTTTATGGCTTTTTTGGTAATTCTATTTTCAAGTTTTAAAATGAATTTGTCATTACGAAATATTTTCAAGCCTAATGAGAGGGTATTTTTTTTTAATAACGCTGATCCAATTATGTAATACAATAAAAAACATTGCCTTTTTCAGTTTCTAACACACAAATCAAAATTTCGGAAGGATGTCCATATTGCAGTTCATCCGCAAAGCAAAATATATACAAAAACATTCTTAATTTGGATGTGTTTGGGTAATAAATTTTACTTTTAAATTAACGTTAAAAATTGGAGTAGAACACAATGGCTGAAGAGCATAGAAGTGCTATCTTAAACTGAATTTTGCTTTCAGTATAAGAATTATCTCGGTGTTGCTGAATTTCCTTCACTTTCAACGTTGGAATATAATTTTTCACCTTTTGACAAAACTTCAGTACCAGCAACCTTAACAAACAATACTGAATGAAACAATTGGCCAGTAAAATATTGAGTAGGAAAAGTATATTACTCTTTTTTTACAGTACAAAGACCGAAATCCAGATGTCCAGTACCTAGAGTAATCTATTATCCAGATTTTTAGACCACCAAAACATTTTTTGGAGGGCAGAAACTTTCTTTTTTTCTCACACAGCAATGGAGAATCTAATACTTAAGAAAATGCAGGTGTGCTGTAATCACCTGCAAATAAATTTTTCTCCGGTTTAGCTGATTTCTGCATGTTGCATTCAAAAACTTGATGAGTAGTGAATCAGACACTTGCAAACATTAATTGGTATTGGCCTGATGACAATACACTGATTGAAGTTGCCATGACCACACTTTTGTCTTTTGAGTGATTGACCTAGCATTTTTTAATCTGATCTGCTCCTATTCACAGTAATTATACTGTCTATTTCGTATAAAAATCAAATAAAATAAGGAACCATTCTCAAAGGGCCATCTTTATTCATTTCAACTTTATCCTGAGAGTGATTATATCCAAACACATTGGCTAGATGATAGTATATTGATTGAAGTTTGCCAGAACCACACTTATAGCCTTTGAGTGATTGTGTGTGAGGGGTAGCATTTTTCAGTCTGATCTTCTCTTATACAGAGTAAGTGATTGTACTGGCCATTTCATGTAAAAATTGTTTTAAATAAGGTATGACGAACTATTTCACAAAAGAACCACCTTTATCCATGACTACAGTTTCCTGAGCATAATTGTACTGAAATACTACATACAAAAATGCTTATCAAGTAGAATATAAAAATATGTGTAAATATCCACAGGGTGAATAAAAAATTTGATTTTTACTGACTGTAAATCATGATTATTTATACTTGTTGTTATACTGTGTTAGATATAAAATTATGACTCAGTTATAGCGGATTATGAAACTAAATTAAAAGGCATTGTTAGTGAATCTTCTTCATTTAATTGATGCAGGCACACAACTGAGTATTATTGTTAAGGGCACTAGTATTTATTCTATCTGTTTAAGAACTTAACTGAACTGAAAATAGGTTTTGTGACATTTTGGCAGACATTAGAGTATATAATGTTTGAACTAATGATATTAGATTGACAGTTGCTGTATTTATAATTAAAACCTGTCTTGGAGATAAACAATTGATGTATTGTTCGCGTACTTACTAGTAAACTGCACAAATTTAAAATTTGTTCTTGCTATTTATAATTTTTTCATAAATATTGAAAATTTTATGAAAATTTGTTCTTGCTATTTATAATTTTTTCATAAATATTGAAAATGCTCTTATTGAAATATTGCATCATCAAGAAAGTTCTGTTGGTTTTCAAATTGAGGTATGTTTTCTTATTATTTTATCTGATAAGGAATCACCTGGATTGAAGCAGATGGATAAATACTGTCTTTTCAGCTCTTTAGCATGTGTTGTGGCATATTTTTTTTTTCCATTGCTAAAAAAAGAAAAACCCCAAATTTCATCACATTAAGCTTTGTTTATTTAAAAGAAAAAAGTGCTTGCCAGACTGCATGTAAGATTTATGCTGTATATGCTGTGCTGTTTTTTATGGCGCAGTTTGAAGGTGGTTTAAGAAGAGTAAACACAGAAATTTTAGCCTAGAAGATGATCCTGAATCTTATTAAAAAATCCACTGGTTCCATAGGATCCATGGGCCTGTCAGTGGAAAAAAAAAAGGCTTCGAGGTGTCTTAGTACTTTACCTCTATTGTTCCTGAGCAAAATTATATAGTCTTACCTTATTTATCGAAAAGATAAAAGCCCCTGGGGGGGCCCCAAGGGCCTGAAAATCAAAACAAGGTCTTTGAGATCTATCAAATAATAAAATCTTTTAATGACATTTCTTCCGGAATAAAATGATAAATTACAACCTGTATTAACAAAAAATTAAAAAGGGGTACTTACGGGGCCTGATAATCAGAATAATCAAAAGTGTGCGAGGGTCGGGGTTTCTTGGTATCATAGTAAGAAACATGTTCTATTTACAGTCAGAAGTCTTTAATCAGGACTTCGGCGATTCCGGATTAACGGTTTTTACGGATTGTAGATCATCAATTTAAATCTGGTAAGATGGCATGCAGAAATTATAAAATTAAAAACATGAAACCGCAATTTATGAAATAAAGAGCAATTATGATCTAAAGGATATCAGAATTTACAAAAAAAAAAAAAGCTTAATATTTATTTGTTTACTTTATTAAACATTTCTTTCATTGCACGCATGCGTAAAGCATACATTACGCATAGTCGAAATTAGAAAATTGCAACCAGAAAATTATTTGATGTATATTCGGGATATTTATAATGACGAGGAATTTGATTTAAATTATATCAAAGACGGAGTACATCAAGATGAAATACTACATTTAGTAAGGAATTATAAGCCAAATAAAATAAAAACATCTGCCGTGAAGATAAGGATAGTGCTGACAGATCAACTTCCATTTCATTGCGTGCCGCGACGTCCTCCTCGCAGGGCAGCTTGAAATTGATAAACAGATTTCGGAATGGTTAGAGAAACAAAGGATATGCCTTTATCCATTTTTTGCAGCAATTCCACTTTTTGTTTGATGGACATTGAAACATACTTTCGCTTTGTAGATCCTTTGGCAGCTCCAGAATCGGAAATTCTATTTGACATAATCGAAAGTTCAAGCTTACTTTTATAAAATTGCTCTAACAGTCTGCAAAAAATAATAAGCCGGATCCAGTTCGAAGATTAAGGAACAATGCAATCTGCAACATTAACTGAAATAGATAATTAGATAATTTTAGCTTAGCTTATACCATCCGTTATACATTAAGCGTGCATGCGTAAACGTATTATGCGCATGCGTAAACGTATATGCACAGAAAGTTTGTAGCTTTTTAAAGACTTTTGACTGTATATAATATCTAAAGCATAAAATATTTATTTCAAAAATGTAACTTTAATTTTTCAGCTGAATCATAGTGTTTCATTTTTAAACTTATTTTTCAGCTTTAGTTACATTTCCTTTTAACATTATGTTAGTTCAGTTATAGCATAATACGATTTACGCATGCAGTGTTATCTTTGCTAAATGTTTTGATAAAATAACAATAATGAATTTAAATCACCTTCAAATAGCTTTTTACATTTATTTTACATAATTATATTCAACTGGGTGGCATCTTCAAATTGTCAAAAAAACATATATTTTATTTTTAAAATTTTAAACTTCTAGATAAATTTTAGAGCTTTTTTACTTCAGACAAGTACCCATTCCTATAGACACACATTCTTTTTTTTTCTTTTCAAACGAAGAATTTAGAAAGTACTGCATTAAAATTAACTTAATGTTTTTTTTGGGGGGGGGAGGTTTGAATTCTGTTGTTTTGCTGTGTTAAAACTCATCAACATTTTGACAATTTTAAGACCAAATTTTTGTACACATAATTATTAATTCAGAATTTTTTCAGCATTTTTTAACAAACATAACACTGATAAATATTGTTAAAATAAAGATAGTATTTTAAATTTATATTTAAAAATAATATTTAAAAAAAATTTCCTCCTGACATATGTTAAAGTGATATTGCTTTCCATTTTAGCAACTTAAATATTTTGATTCTGGAAAATGAGCAAGGTAATAAATGATGTAAAACACAGTTTATGAAACATTTCTTAGGATGCACAAAAATGCTACTGTAATTATTTAATTAATTTCATTATCTAAAATTTTTCATGAGAAGAGTTTTTGCCTGTAATTATTTTAGAATGTTCATTATGTGTGCGAGTTTTCTCTGTAAAACTCACTTTACATTTTGCTTTTTTGAATTTTTTTCAAAATCTTTTGGTTTTTTACCGTTATAGGGTTGGTAGGAATAATTGTTATTTTGGATTTTAGACCTTGCACTCTGAAAAGTTTGGAAGGATTTGAAGGCAAGATATGTTGATCTACAGTTCTAAAAGGTTACAGATAAATGTGACAAAATGAGAAATGTTTTCATAGTATTTATGTGTAATGGGTGTATTTTGCAGGAAGCTTATCATGATTTTCTTCTTTTAAAAAAAATTTTTCAAGAACATTGAAAACAAAATTATTTGAATTTTGCCCTTCTGATCCTAGAACTTCTTTCTCTAAAAATGTTTTTTTTCCCTTTATTTTCTGTTCTTTTCAGTAGATGAAAGCATGGGAAATTGCAAAACCATTCTAATCTTGACACATGGACAGATATCCATAGTAAGGAATTTTCTGTTAATAAAGAAATTGAAAACTGATTGTTTAAAAGGTTTATCCTGTTAGTATACTGACATTTGGTCTTGGTATACTGACACTTGGTCCAATCTTTGTGAATCCTAAATTCTGAGGTCGCTGGACACTGGTAGTTCGGTCCGAGGTTTGAATCCCGCGAACGGGCTGGCTACATGGGTGTTTTCGTGGTTTTCTCTATGTGTAATGTGTATACGAGCCAGTTTCCCTTAGAAAGTCCTCCACGAAGGCATCCCTCCCTTAAGGCAGATAGCCCTCGAATGCTTTGCCATAACCTAATAAACCAAACCAAAAAAACCCAAATTCTGAGATTTTTGTTGCTGAGTGCTTCTCTAAATTCTAAAAATTTTGCCACGCCAGCCCTGGCCATATATTTGAATAGTTATTATTAATACTCTTATTATTAAAGTAATAAAATTAGCAGTTTCTTGTATACATTCTTAAATGCATGCAGCTTTTTAGAACAACAGTAATCTTTAATTAAATCTTAAAAGTTCTGAAATGAAGAGGGAACTTGTTGAGGAAAAAATTGATTTGTATAAAGAGAATGAAAATTGTTCTTCAAAGGTATATTGTTGAAACATTACCAAATTAGGAGATGAAACCGAGATCAGTGTGAACATTGTTTATGTACATAAACATTTTTTTTTGTGTACGTAATGTTTATGTTGTTTATTTATTAAAGCAAATATATTTAGAAAGTATGCTAAAAAGAAGGAAATGGATATAAATGAACTAAAATATCTGGAAAACTTTCAAATTGAAAAGATGCATAAATATTTTGTGTTATTGCTACAAAGCATACATGTTTTGTAACTTTTAATAAATACTATCCTAATATCATTTTTGTATCAATATATATTATGTGTGTTTTCTGTTATTTTAAAATGGGAAATGTTCTTAGATTGTGATTTTAAAAATGCTTTTTTATGAAATACTTTTAAAAAATAAAAATAAAATTGATTGTGTAAGAGTCATAAGAGATAATCTTAGTCTTTATAAGTAATCTTAGTAAGAGAGATAATCTTAGTCATTATAAGATAATTTAAATCTTATAATGACTAGATTATAAGATTAGTCTAACTATCTAATTTGATTATTTATAGATAATTATCTGTTTATAATTAGAAGTTATATTTACATTCTAAAATGTAAAAATTTAAAAATTAACTTAAAACTTTATTCCATGTTCTTAATGAGACTTACAATAAATACAGAACAACCTCTAGTGCTTCAACTTGTTATTGGAACTGCACAGTATATTAACCGGATTACAACTCCCGCTGCTCTGAATGAAGCTGCAACACTGTCTTGGACAGACAAAGCACAACTAACTTGTTGCCTGTGATATCACTTAACTATTGAAACATCCTCAAACTATTTGCCCATAAAAAATAGATCTGCAGTTGGCACTTTATTGGGAAAACTCATTTCATGTTTTAAGGAAGAAAGGAATGTTACTAAGATATCTTATTTTAGTTCTTCAGTGTCTTACTCAAGACTTCAAGGTGTATAGCAAGCAAGATATCATGCTTGTTATAAACACTAAAGCAGATGAATTATAAGAATGTTTTGTGAATGGAATAACCATTTTTGCCTATATGCCGAAAGCATTTTTTCCATGTACTAAAATCTACTAGAGCATGCAGTATGTATTTGTGAACTAGACATTTATTATAATGCTTTTGTTATTTAAATATAAGTCTACCTATAGAGGGATCTTTCGTTGGAACTATACCAAACAGATTGTGTTCGGGGGTGGAGAGAATGTTACGAAGACTTCTCCCATTGCAACATTGTTTGGTAACATAGGAACCAATGTTTGTTCATGAAACAGTTTGTCCTATTTTGTAAATGGACTAATCATTTTCACCCATGTGTTGAAACATATAAAAAATGTCCTATCTGTAGTTGAATTATTAACAGTATAGCTCTGTTTTAAATTGCTGAATAGTTACTGATAGTAGTGTAATTATAGTGTGAAATTATAGTAATTATTTATAGTGAGTACTGTAATTATAGTGTGAAACAGTTTTCATTTGACATGGCTATAGTGGGTAGAGACAGGTGAAATAAAATAGCATGAAGTTATAAACTGTATTTTTAACATAATATAGATAAAAATAAAACTTCTGTTCATCTTAATATCTGAAACAATAACATGAAATTATTATTGGTAGTTTTAAAAATAAAAACACTTCTGCTTGTCTTAGTATTTGCCATAACAATATCTCTAAATCATAATCCCTCAGAATGTAGAAGTCGCAGTAAAATAAAAGCTCACAATACCAAATAGTTGACATTTCTAAAAACCATGTGATAGGAAATACTGTATATAATGTATTATTCATTGTTACTGCAACAGATTGTATGTAACAAAAAGCAATTTTTTAAGAAAGGGTTAAATAATTATTAGTTACATAGTGGATATTTATGCATGCTTACAGTCTTTGCTCATTTTCTTGTATTATATGAAATTTTGTAGAAATCCATGCTTTAAAAAAGGAAATTTAAGGAAAATTAAAAAAGGGGGTAGGAAGTAATTATGTGGAAGATACTTGTACCTCCGTATTTTCCTTGTATTTGTGCCTCAGAAAAGTTCTGTGAAAAGCTGAATTCTGTTATTTTCTATAAGATTCGGCTTTATTATTATTACCATTTTTATTCTATGATTTATTTCAGTAACACTAATAAAATGTTATTTCCTTGTTGTTTTTATCAGTTTTGGGTTAAGATGAAAATGCATTAAATTATGACTTTTATCATAATTGAATTAAAATGAATTGTCTTTTCATGTCTTCAATAAGTTTACAAGACGCTTTGTCTTTTCAGCATCAGTTATTACAGTATCTTCATCTCGTAATAACGCCTGTCACAGTAATGGTAATGAGAGTTGCAAGGTTCTGGAAAAAATTCATTTTAATATTCACTTGCCAGACAATCCATTTCAGTGTGGAACTCCTACTATAGTAACACCATCTGCAAACTTTCCTTTTTTTAAAAGAAGAGATTACTTTAAAAATCTTCAAAAGAAATGGTTTAAATCTAGTATAAGAGGTAAAACTGAAAATAGTAAATTAAATTTCGACAATTGTAAATCGTCACGTAACACTTTTCGAACTAATAGAAAGGTAAATAATAGTTTGAAGAAAAAAAGTAAACTTAATGCAATGCGAAATAAAGTAAAAATAAATGAAGAAGCTTTAAAGAATTCTGCTAAAGAACTTAGCATGAGAACCAAGAAAAAGAAAAGTATTCGTAATGCAGGTAGGAAGGATAGCATGAGAACCAAGAAAAAGAAAAGTATTCGTAATGCAGGTAGGAAGGATGTTCATGATGCTGTAATGGTAAAAAAAAATTTTGGTGATGAGGAAGAAAACCATGTCCAGAGTTTTAAAGTAACAGATATTGAAAATGATGAAAACATGCAGCCAAAAGTAATGTTGATAGATATTTTTAGTGATCCTAATGCAGCGAATGATCCTTATGTGAGTAAAATTAAGCAAGACTTGGGTTGGATCCTGGATGAATCAGAATGCCCAGTTGTTAATGATGATATGGAAAAGGAAGAACTCACTTTTTCTAATTTAGGAAGTTTTGATGGAACAAATGAATCACCAGACATTGATAATGAGAAGGTGACAGCTGAGTCAGTATATTCATTTTCTGAGGAAAATATGGATTATCAAGATCCGTCTGAGAGTGAAATGTTATCCCCAGAAAGTGTACATAATAGTGACCAATGTTTAGAGAAAGATGATGAAAAGTTTGAAGACAAGTCTCCTAATGAAGTTTTATCTCCTAATGAAGTAGCTAATGAATTTTTATCTGAAGACTCTGCTACCATATTTATGGATGAACCTTGCTGTTCTAAGGATTCACAAAGCTTTTCGTGTAGTCCTGCACCTGAGAACCCTCCAAGGAAGGGTCCTCGTACTCCCCCTCACCCTCCACCAGATTATTCAGATGAAGGTATGCCTTCAAAATGCTAAGTTTTTACTTTATAAGATATTCTAAATTCGAACTCAAATAGATTTCTCTTCCATATGCAATATGTCTGGGGAGGATCAGAATTTTGGAAATGAAGGTATGTTGTTTTTTTATTTTATGTATATATTTGAATGTTTAGTTCATTCTGATTTCTATTTGGACTTCTCCCTGCTAATTGGCCTTAGAATAAATTGCACATGCATTTAAATATTAAACAGGTAGGTTATATGTTTTACTAATGTGTGTAGTTGATGTTTATTGTACAAAAATATCGTTTTTAATTAATTTTTAGGATACGAGGTATATCAGTTTTTTTTGGGGGGGGAATGTGCAGTAAGAGAAATTTAAAATGTTGCTGATAATTTTTTTTTGGCATAAATGCAGTCAAAAGTCGTTAATTCAGACACCCATAATCCGGACCTCAAAGCTCCAAACTTTCTGTGCATGTGTCGCGTTGACGCAAGCGCATAAGACCTTCACGGCTGCAAATATGCGTGTGCGCATGCGCAAAATACATTTACGCATGCGCGTTTAATGTATAACGGACGGTGTAAGCTAAGCTAAAATTATCTACACTCATGTCCATAAATTAAGGATAATTCGTAGTCACGCGGAAATCGCACTCTAAAATAAATATATCACCTATAAAATCACTACACACATCTTCAAGAATCATATGCAAATTTCAGGAAGTAACCAGATGACACCGATGGTACGTCACAATGACGAGAGTGTAAGAGAGTGATATATAAGGAATACAGGCAAAGAAGTAAAATTGTTTGCAGGCGATTTATAAGCATTTCAGTGCATTAACCGAATAGTTATGACACAAAGGACGCATTTGGATGATTTTTTACGTGGTAGAATTATCGGCCGTCTGGAATGTGGGCGTACCCAACTGGAAGTATCAGACGAACTTGGAATTGTCCAGAGTGTCATCTCCAGGCTTTGGCAACGATACCTAGATGATGGTAATGTGAGTAGACGTTACAGCACAGGTCGCCCCAGAGTTACAACGCCGAATGAGGACCGGTAATGGCAGTTATTGCCAAAAGAAACAGGCAGAGCACAGCCTCAGACATGTCTCGTCAGCTCTCTTCAGCCACTGGTACGACAATTTCAAGGCAGACCGTGTACAGACGCTTAGGGCAGATTGGTCTATATGCTCGTAGACCTGTCAGATGCGTTCCACTTACTGCAACTCACTGTCGCCTGCAGTTAGCCTGGACTAGAGAGCATGCATTGTGGACACCGCAACAGTGGGCTTGTGTGATGTTTTCCGACGAGTCCAGGTTTAGCTTGCAGTCTGATTCTCGCCGGACTTTCATATGGAGAGCTCCAGGTACCAGTTACCACCAAGAAAATGTCATTGAACGACACCGTTACATTGGTGCAGAAGTGCTCATTTGGGGTGGAATTATTCTGGGTTCCAGAACTGATCTGCATGTTCAAGTCGTCGGGACGTCATTCTGGAACAACATGAACGTTTGTTTTGGGGCGCCATGGGTGCACAATTTGTGTTTATGGATGACAACGCCCGTCCTCACCATGCAAGCATCGTAAGCAAATGCCTTCAATCGGAGGATATCACCCGTATGGACTGGCTAGTATTCTCACCGGACTTGAATCCAGTAGAGCACGTGTGGGACATGCTTGGCCAATGAGTTCAGCCCGTCAACCTTCTCCTACCTGTCTACCGGAACTTCGGAGAGCATTGCTTTTTGAGTGGTGTAATATCCCCCAAGATCAGATCGATAATTTGATACTCAGCATGCCTACGCGTTGTACGGACTGTATTACATCGTCTGGGATACGTACAATGTATTAACAATCATACCAACCATGTAATATTGGTTTTTTTTGTAAATAGGTTTTTTTTTTTTTTTTTTTTTTTTGTTTTTTGGGGAGAAAAAATTGCTAATTTTTTAAATACGTAGCGTATTCGGAAACTAAGTACCGTTTCATTCTAGCGCCGTCGCCGCGCCGTGGTAGGCGTCCCGCGCATGCGCACTAGTCTTTCTTGTTCACTGACTTTCAATTGTCGCCATTTTGGTTGCTCTATGTTGTGTTTTCAGTTTGCTGTGCACATTCAAAATGTTTAAGACAATTAGTTCTCCCGCTGACTGTGAGATTCGTGCCGTGATTAAATTTTTGAACGCGAGGAATGTTAAACCGGCCGAAATTTATCGTCAAGTGACACAGGTTTACGGTGAATACGCGATAAGTGATGAAATGGTGAGAAAGTGGGTAAGAATGTTTAATGCAGGTCGAACAAATGTCCACGCCGAGGCTCGGAGTGGTCGGCCTTCTGTTGTCACCGATGATTTGGTAAGGAAAGTTGATGAAGCAATTCATGAGAACAGACGCTTCACAATGACAACTCTTTCAGAGGCATTTCCACAAATTTCACGTACTGTTTTGTTCGAAATTGTGTCTGACCGCTCGAATTATCGCAAACTGTGTTTCCGATGGGTTCCAAAAATGCTCACTGATGTTCACAAAACAAAGCGACTTGGTAGTGCCCTGACATTTCTCACGCGGGGTACAGTGATGAGGGAGAAAACTTTTTTAAACTAAATTGTGACAGGTGATGAAACTGGGGTGTGTCATTTCACACCAGAATCGAAACAACAATCGATGGAGTGGAGACACACTCATTCACCGAAAAGTGTGGAGTCGTGGTTATCGAAACTGGCGGGAAGTTTCTTTGACGATGGTATACAAAAAAACTGGTCACCCGCTATGACAAGTGTTTGATCATTGGCGGAAACTATGTTGAAAAATAGTTTAAGACATGTATTTTCATGTAAAAATAAAATTGGATTCGAAAAAAAATTGTTTTACTATTTTTTTTTCAAAACGGTACTTAGTTTCCGAATACGCCTGTAATATCAAAATTAGCATCTGTTTTTGCTCTTACCTTTTGTTTAATAAATAAGCTTTACAAATAAGTCAAATTTGTTTTGCTTCTAACTCTTCCTTTGCCTGATTTCGCATTATCCTTAATTTATGGACATGAGTGTAATTCAGTTAATGTTGCAGATTGCGTTGTTCCTTAATCTTCGAATTGGATCCGGCTCATTATTTTTTGCAGACTGTTAGAGCAATTTATAAAAGTAAGCCTTGAACTTTGATTATGTCAAATAGAATTTCTGATATATATTTACTAATATGTAAAGGATCTACAAAGCGAAAGTATGTTTCGAAGTCTATTAAACAAAAAGTGGAATTGCTGCCCAAAAAATGGATAAAGGATCTAATAGCGAATGTATGTTATCGAACCATCCGAAATCTGTTTATTCAATTTCACGCAGCTCTGCGGCGGGGGGAATGCGAACTCGGACGCGCAATGATTTGGAAGTTGGATCTCTCATCACTATCCTTATCTTCAAGGCAGATGTTTTTATTTTATTTGGCTTATAATTGCTAGTACTAAATGTAGTATTTCATCTTGATGCACTCCGTCTTTGATATGATTTAAAATCAAAGTCCTCGTCATTATAATTCGCTTCCGATAGTCAAGAAAGTGAACAGAGGTTATTGAAAACGAAAAAATTTCGATGACAAATTACTCGGTATTCTCGACACAGCAATTATAGGACTTGAACAGCGGAACTTTGTAACTGAACAAGAAATTATGTCTGTTTATAGAATTAAAAGAAAGTATTATCACATAAAAAAACGAAGCAACTTAAAACACTTACATTGAAAGAAAATGTTTAATAAAGTAAACAAATAAATATTAAGCTTTTTTTTTTTTTTTTTTTGTAAAATTTGATACCCTTTAGATCATAATTGTTCTTTAATTCATAAATTACGGTTTCATATTTTTAATTTTATAATTTCTGCATTTTGTCTGACCAGATTTAAACTGATGATCTATAATCCGGAATTGCCGAAGGCCCGACGAGTCCGGATTAACGACTTTTGACTGTATTATATAAAAGCTGAATGATTATTTCATTATTGTATGAGTGCTGTGTAAACATTTAGGATAAATAAAATAGATAGTAAACTTGCAGAATGTTTGGATTCATTGTCTGCAATAGACAGTTTTCGTAAATGCTTAGTTAGATAAATGATTTCTAGAGCTCTGGCTCTTTGTGGTATTGGAGAACAGTGTTTTGAATGCTTACTTTATAATTTTTCATGAATTTTCACTTGTTCGTAGAAATTGTTCTCTCCCTACCCCAACAAAGTGTTTAAAAAATTACATTTATTTTTTTGTAAAGTGCAAAAACTGTTCTAGCTGATCCTGAAGAGAATATGAGTTTGGTAATAAGGTAGGTGCATATTTAGTAAGGAAGCTTTGTAATTATTCCTAAAAATTTCCATGAAATGTAAATTTTAAGCATCAAATAATAATAATTGGCATTTTTGTAGGTAGAAAATTTGTTACCTTTTCAATTTCGCAAGTGATTTTTTTTATAAGCTCTGTATAAAGTCTGTGTTAGACTGAATTGCATATTTCACAAACAAATGTAATATTAATTCTGGAGTTTTATTTTTGATCTTCTGAATGATGAACTGGGTGGTATGGAAAACTTGATTTTTTAGTCTAAAGGGGCTTTATCCCTAAAGGACTATTGTTTTCATTTTGAGATTTTGCGTTGATTCACTACAAACAGCGAATCACTTTTCAAACTGTTGCCACAAAGTATTATCACCCTGTGTTATATTTAGAGAAATTAAATAAAGAAAAATCTGCATAAATGTATGTTTATTACTCGCACTGTGATAAAACAACGGTACATAGAGCCATCGAATTTTGAATGACGTCATCCTCCTACGAATATGGGCATGTGGAAGACCAAACTTGAAATTTTGTTTGTTGTCGATTTCATGTTTTGTAAAATTTGAACGAATTTTTTAGTAACAAACTCAAGGATTTCAAAGCAAGCAATGACAACGTTATACAGAAAAAAACATTTTTATCTCCATCGCGTGAGTCTCTGTATCGGAAATTCTAAAAAAATGATCATTTTGAAACTTTTTGCAATATTGCTATTGAACTGAATTTTATGGTTTAAGTGCGAGGAACGTGATATTTAATAAATAAATGTAACACACAAAATGTTAAAAAAAAGGGTGTTCGGC